AGAGAGAGAGAGAGAGAGAGAGAGAGAGAGAGAGAGAGAGAGAGAGAGAGAGAGAACCTTTGAGAAATGGTATCCTTGTGGTACTGATATATTAAGATACAGTCTTCCCTCACTAGATAAACCACCATCAATGCTTATTGTCTGTGTGCCAGCTGAAGTTCGCCTTCTAAGGCGTCTCAATGATTTTGATTTTGATGTTGGAGGTTGGACACCCTTCAAATCCAGTGTAACAAGCACTGGTTCTTTTTCATTCAAGTCCAAAACCCGTAATATGCTGTTATTTGTATCAGCTATGAGTAACCTTCCTGAAGTCCAAAAATAATGTCAAATTTAAGAAAAATGTAATATGATACGATCAGAGGCTCCTACAAAATTTTAGAAGGTTCATGATACTATGTATTACCTAAAATTACAAATAAAGTTTGCATGTTATAGTTGGAAATTACCATTTCCAGCTTCAACTAGTCCAGAAGGCTCCGAAAGCTGTAGAATCAGAATGCATTGATAATAATATCCAAAAGCTATACAAGTAATAAGTGAATAACAAAAACATGCATGCATTTTTTATGTCTAATTCATCTATGGACCAATATTTTTGTAATGTACACCATGTAATTGAATTCTTTGCTTTCTTCGAAGGATAAAGGGATCTAGGGGAACAGTATAGCTAGGTGGTAGAGTGGTGGAGATGCTTCTTCCTTCCATATTTTGGACCTTAGCTCCATCAAGCAATAGAAATTGGATGTTTCAGAAACAAAATATTATTTGTCGGTAAAATTCAAACTATGGATAATAAGATGCACTTCACTACTTAAGACCCTGCAGGGTGATGGGACTGGGAATTTACCATGCTTCACATGTATATCAGCACTTCTGTACAGGATAAAATTTACCCAGATACAAGTCTCAGTTGTCTTATGTGAAGTTCCAGTGGATATTTCCAACTAACGAATTTGGACCAAGGAAATATGGCGAACATATCTTAAAAGTAACAAGTGACATATCTTACCCCACAAGGTCACCTAAGAAATAATTTTGACAAGTTGCTGAGAAAGTTGGTCGTGGCAAAAATCTCTGAGCTAGATCGAAGGCAGTGTCGGAAATAATGTCTTAGGTGAAGTGCAAGCTTAGGATCTGGAGTGAATGGTTTTGCTACTAATTTATGTTAACTATATTATAAGCCCAACCCATATATAGTAAAGGCACTAAGTGTACATATATGGACATTTTCATATGTGAATGCATTATTCATTACAAAACACTATTGTCCAGTATTATGGTATCACAGCAACACAAATAATTCTTTTCGTTATTTTTCTTTCCGATCTCACCTCCCACACCAGTCAACTTGCCGTCTGAGGATCGACTTTCAGGCCAAGTTTTGCCGTAAGAATCCGCGTGTGTGAGCCACGCTCGCTGCCAAAACTTTCTGTTGGCTACCACACGCGCCGGCGCGTGAAACGCTCGAGGATCGGAATTCTGAGGTCTTGCTGCCAGTGTTTTGGTGTTTCTGGAGGTTTTGGTGTTTGTTTTGCCTTTTTCAGATCCGTCACTTGTCGGGGTTAGGGTTTGTATACTCTAATCCGTCCCGACACTCATCAATTTTTGTTTGTTTTTGTCCTCATTCATCTGTTGTGTGGTCCTACACTGCCCATAGCTGCACCTTCATTCTTATTTTATCGCGGCTCGTCACTGCTGTTTGATACGTCATTGTTCGCGTACCATCCGTATTAGGAAGGCATACCTATTGTCATACATCGTCGAATCATGTCGCAACTTCATGCAATTGCTATCAATATCATTCTTGATGGTCAGAATTATCGGTAGAGGGATTTTTTGGTTTAAACCGTGTTGAGGGGTCATGGTCTAGCTTTCCACTTGACTGACGATGGACTCAAATGGAAGACCGATAATAGTAATGCTGCTGACATGGGGAAATTGATGGTTGCCAGCGTCAACAGTGTCAAACAATCCATCATTGTGAGCCTTTCTTCTTTTCGGACAGCAAAGGTGGTCCTATTTGCAACAACGCTACATTCACGATAATGTTGCACTCTTGCACACTTATGTAACAAATTCACGTGATTGAACAAAACGACATATCCATTGAAGAGTAGTACTTGGCTTTTGGTTGTTTGATGGGACCATTGGTCTCCATGATATGCTCGGCAAAGTAATGTCAACACTCTGTCATGGGAGTCGGAGAAGAATTTGAGTCGGTTCGTACATGGTTACTTCATTACTCTTCTGCTGGGACCATGGCACATGCATTATCTGACTTGACTGCTGAAGAAACTCGTCTCCATTCTATGTCAGTTGTTCCTTCATTAGTATCGCATAATATCCTGACAACTTTTCAAAGCTGAACGGCTTAGTGCACCTAGAGATGGCTCTCCAAAAAGCATTGCGGCAATAGTGTCAAAAATTGTTTTACTCTCAACATCCAATGTTGTTCACTCGTATTTTTACTACAAAGGGGTATGTATCTGCCAAGGTTTTGAAAACCAAACAAGTCATCGAACCAGTAAAGCTACCGGTTCAATGATTCACTGGTCCAACCAATGGTCGTACCGATTTTATTAGTATATTTTTTTATGTATTTTATATGTATAAAGTATAATTGTATATATTTTTATCCTTAATTTTATAATGTATAATTCAATAATAGATACAACAAACAATATTGAATAATGTACAAAATAGAGAGAATAGATTTGTATGTTAATTTTAAAATCAGAATTTGAAAACAAATCATTCATTATAAGAAATTGGAGTTAATTCGGATATCGAACCAAAAAATGCAATCTAAAATATTCTGAATCGCTAGTCACCATCCACGAGAACTTTTTAATTATTTTCATTTTCGGCCTTTTGGTTTTGAACAATTTTGGACTCTAAACAACTTAAATCCAAACTAAACTTATAGGCCCAAATCCAAACTAGAAAACAAAGAAAAGATGAGAACATGGTAAGTTTTTAATATCTCACATCGAAAACACAAGAAACAACAAAATGTTATTTAAATGGTGACATTGGCTTCCACAGTCACAACCTTACAAAGTCCAAAATTTGAAATCGTTGGGTCGCCTAAACCGTTAACGGTTTTGCGGTTTTACTGGTTTTAACCGGTTCAAACGGTTTGTAACCGATTTTGGGCCCCAATGGTTCCATAACTTAAATTGGACCTGTGTGCTGGCTGGTTTTCGGTTGAATCGGTCGAACCAGCCAGGTCCGGTTTTCTGAACCATGGTATCTGCCACCTCTTTTGTCAGTGCTCCACTTACAGTTTTCTAAGTTGTTCATATATTGAGTCAATTTGTGAGTGCTCCTACTTCGGTTCATTTTGGGCGTTTGCTTCGTCTGCGACGATACTTAAGGTAAGCATCATCTTAGTGTATGTTATATGCTCGTGATAGTTTTCTTCAGCTCCATGCTACTTGGATTCTACTTGGGCGAGCAATCCAACAGATCGTCGTTCTGTCACTGTTTATTGCATTTTTCTTGGTTCTCATCTTAGCACAAAGGCAAAACTTCGAGCATTTGCTACTAACACTTCAGAAACACATGGCTTCGATGGTTGTCAGCCGATTTTTGTATTCAATGTGATGCTCCTACACCTCTTCTTTGTGATAACCTGGAGTCCGGATTGTCAATGATCCTGTGAAGCATAACTTGCAAAACATGTGCCGGTGTTTCCTTTACACGGTCTCATTGTCATAAAAAAACAATTGTTCTTCATGTGCCTTCAGCTGCAAGTGGCTAATACTTTCACCAAAGCACAAACTCATGCTTCACTTGCTCAAACTCAATTCGGATTTTCCACCTCCTCCTTGAAAGGGTGTGTTAACAATATTACAGGTCCAAGCCATATATACTAAAGGCCTTAAGTCTATATATATGGGCATCTGAAGGCATATTATTCATCCAAAGTAACAATTTATTCCTAAAAATCGGCTCACTTTTATTCTTGTCTCTATGGTCTTACAATTTTGCAATCAGTGGAGTTCATTTTCCTTTTTGGCACTTATTTTTTTTCACCTAAATTAAAGTTACAGGAGAACAAGTTGCTGATATTACTAAAATAACTACCTGAGCTTCAAGTGCTGATCCATCCTTGAATCCAGCCTTTCCAGTCCCTGCCAGAGTAG